TTTGAGCTTTTGTATAGCTAGCGCCTCGGCAGCTATGCCCAGATGTCTTGATTTGACTCCCTTTGATAGGTTTGATTGAATCTTGTATATTATTTTGAAGGATTTTTCGAAAAGTGTCCTGAATTGACCACATGTTCTGTCACTGAACTGTATACACGCTTTTGGTCTCCTTTTACTAACCAGGCTGGGTAGTATTCACGAGTGCGTTTTTCAAGTCGGAGCATGGTACGGCCAACGTACTCAGCTCCACAAGAGCAAGTAAACTGGTATATGCACGTTGAGGTGGCCCAATGCGACAGCTTTCCTTTCGCGTTCTGGCTGAACATTTTCTTTCAGGAAAACGTCAGTCGTAGGCTCGCGGCGAAGTATGTTTTCCTTAGAGATTTCTAACCCCTAATTGCACAATGTCAATCTTCTTAGCTATCATGATTCTAATTTGTTTGTTTTATCCATCCCCCTGTTTATTATGCCATTCTAATTCCTAATTTTTATTAATTTGACCCTTGACCGGAAATTATTCTGGAACTTTCCTATCCATTTGTGATTATAAATACACGAATGTACAGCCTAGTTGACGATGACTTCGTCGAAAAGAAAAGCTTTTCTTCGCTGTAATTGTCTTCTTAATAACTCCTATGACCCAATGTGTATATTCCGTGATTTAAATGGTAATCGTAACTAATTTTATTTTATTATTATTGTTTGACAATCCTAATGTACACACACACACATATCCATTTTAGCTGATAGATTGATTTTTCAGACAATACCTATACGAGGAAACATTTCCGTTAGAAGAGCTAAGTTACCATTGTCTCGGTATCTTAAAAAGAAAACACTAAATTACATAATAATAATCCGTTACCGCTTCATCCATCCATCTCCTGTGAACTTCCGATCTTAAAGGCCAAGAAAGAAAGAAAGAAAAAAAGACGCCGCCTTAGATAGGTGTGCCTCTCCTCTTCCATGTACTTTTATCCTCTGGAGTATTTCTGTGCACCCATAATTAAGGTTGGTGAAGCGAGAATGTAAGTGAAAAACAGCTATACATACACTTAATGCTCCATCTAGAGTTAGCTGACTGATAACAGACATCAAGATATTACCAGGCGGTGCGGTGGTAAGCTTCAACAATAGATTTTATAGTAGACTACACCACACGTATGAATTGCACATTCACAGAAGTCATACAACATCATCCACAATCTCCTTCAGATACCAGACGTCTGTATTCTGAAAATCTGCACCGATACTATCGCCTATCTGACCGCATAGAATGGTTTAACTTCTAATATATTTTCTCAGCACCGATCATATATCTTGTCAGTGGTTTTAATTATAGTCCTTAGGATACATTCAGGCTCCGGTAGACAGACCCGACAACTCGTAAACCCCCGTCTTACATTATTGGCATCTGTATTCTCAGGTTCTTTACGTGTCTGTCTGTCAGTTTTCGATATAGAACTTTGCACAAATGTGCGCCACTTCAAGTCGCCACACTCCCTCCATGTAACACCACACAAAGGAAGAGAAGAAAGTACAAGAAAAGCATAATACAGACAGTAAACAGAGGTGTGAGACAAAGGAGGAGTAATAACAAAGAACAAAACAGTTTCATTGGAAATCATAAGTCACAAGGAGTGGATGCATCTGCGTCAGCCAGCCATTGAGAACGATGAGTTTGAGCCATGTCACCAATTGTTTCCAGCCTTCATTGGTTTTTACCGTCCCGAGGACCCCCCAACCAGTCAGGAAGTCTACACCATCCTACGTGACTGGCTTAGACTAACTGTTGTGGATTTCATTGACTGGTGAAGCCATGTTTTTGTTCGACCTCCACTAGCTCTTTTCCAGCCTGACCCTACATCCGCTAACATTGACCATTAGTTGAGGAATTCGATGACTAGTCAGGGATGCGTAACACATGTCCTAACCATCTCAGTATTTGTAACTTCACGACTTCGTCGATTGATTTCCCCTGTTTACCTAGAACTCAACAGACGCCAAACCTCAATATTGCTCACCTTATTATGCCACCAACCAACACGGGAGATAGAACGCAGACAGGCACATATGATCAAAGACAGCTAGCTAGTCTTTTCACGTCTTCCACTCTCAGTAACCAGGTCTCACAGCTGGCCATAAAGGAGGACGGAACGGACTGATGAGCACTACACCCTACCTACACCGACTTACCTACCTACCTACCTACCTAAAGACCTCAGAAGTATCGTTTCAACTACAGGCGAACGGAACTGACGAAGATATCATCAAAACGCGAGGATCGGGAAAGCAAGAAAAGCTTTCATTACTGTCATCATCAAGTCTTTGTGGAGATGAACAACCCTCGTCAGCATGAAAAAAATAAGACCATGATTTTCAACTCCAATTTGAAGTCAGTCAGTGCTACTCTATATACAGGTCAGAGGCCTGGCTCCGTGTCACGTCACGAACGACACTTCGAACACAACACCTTCATTAACAGCTACCTTCCCTCGATACTTCGCTCACTCAAGATCGAATGGTCGGCCAAAAAAAAAGAAAAGATCAGCAACAGGGATCTCTGCCTATAAACCAATCGTGCAAAAGAAAAAATATGCAAAAAGAAATGGAAGTGGATTGGATATTTTGGTCATACTCTGAAAAAAACAAACTATGAAGTGAGGTAGTGACATCACATACGCCAGGCTCCTTCTCTCTCTCTCCCTCAATCTCTGTGGAGTGGAACCCGAATGGGATGGAATCGGCGAGTTATAATGGATCGCCAGTTTGAGGATTACATGGAGGTGAAGGAGGAGAATATGAGATGCCAAGAGGAGATGAAACCCCATGTGGGCAGTAGCATGGTGTCCTAGATGAAAAAACGTTGGCGGAGAATCCTGAACGCAATGGATACGTGCAACTGAAACCGTCCATGTGTTCCTCAATAGGAACTAAAGGAAGAAATAATAATAAAAATCATCTCATTATTACACTGTCGTTTAAATCTATAGGATTAGCTTATTATTTAGTCGGTCATCTTCTTTCTTGAATTTACGTTGTCATAACAACTTTGAATTTGTGACAAAAGCCACCACTTGAATGTTCATCATGCAGTAATGAATAGGGATAAATGAAAACCCATTTTTCGCGTCTTTGTGACCCCGTTCATCAGATGACAGAACTCCGACATATATATATATATATATATATATATATATTAAGCATACCCCTTGTATTTTCCTAGTGTGGTATAACTACCGCTCCCCAGGTCCACCCTTATCCCGGTTGGAACGTATAACGTAAGCTTGTTAGGCGCACCTTAGTCTTGTGTATTACTGCCGTATGAAAAATACATAAACAGCTTTTATCATATACGAATTAACGTGACTAAATATCTATAGCATAACTTTATTATCTCATTTTAAAGAAGAAATTCATACCTATTTAGATCGACAGGATCCAACAAACCAGACTGGTTTAACGACTAACAATAACAACACAGCACTCTGTTGATGATATCAACTGTATGCAACAGCAAGACCAGACCAGATCAGTCATCTAATGACCGATACACAAACCAAAGTTTGAACTTAGCTTCCTTAGTGAATAAATACTTGGGCGGGGAGGGGGGGGGACTGGAAGTTGCTTGATACTTACTTCTTCAATAGATCATTTCATCAATGTAGAATAGTCAGTCATCTGTAGAAATCGACTATAGCATGACAACACACTGTATTATAATGAAATGTCATGTGGTATATTCTTGACAACTCGACAAACTCTGTACCACCACCACTTCACTACCCCCCCCTCCCCAACTGTAAGCAGTACACCAGAAATCAAGTACAAAAAGCCCGTTACAACAGAATAACAATAACATACCACCTCCGGCTATAATATCCAATCATCCATTATCTTCAATCCAATTTAAAAGTCTATTGGATTAAAAACCAGCGATGTACAAAAGCAAGTTTAACTCTAGGTGAATGATTATAAAATCTGTTCAATAACCTTCATCTGGATAAATCGCATCTATCTGATGACAACGACGACAACTAGAACACAATAAAGTTTACGCCGACTCTGGCGTAGATGAGATATTCGACTATCGACCAAAGGGCGAGTGTACTGCTCATCAGTCCGCTCCGTCCTCCTTTGTGGCCAGCTGTGAGACCTGGTTACTGAGAGTGGAAGACATGAAAAGACCAGCTAGCTGTCTTTGATCATAGGTGCCTGTCTGCGTTCTATCTCCCGTGTTGGTTGGTGGCATAATAAGGTGAGCAATATTGAGGTTTGGCGTCTGTTGAGTTCTAGGTAAACAGGGGAAATCAATCGACGAAGTCGTGAAGTTACAAATACTGAGATGGTTAGGACATGTGTTACGCATCCCTGACTAGTCATCGAATTCCTCAACTAATGGTCAATGTTAGCGGATGTAGGGTCAGGCTGGAAAAGAGCTAGTGGAGGTCGAACAAAAACATGGCTTCACCAGTCAATGAAATCCACAACAGTTAGTCTAAGCCAGTCACGTAGGATGGTGTAGACTTCCTGACTGGTTGGGGGGTCCTCGGGACGGTAAAAACCAATGAAGGCTGGAAACAATTGGTGACATGGCTCAAACTCATCGTTCTCAATGGCTGGCTGACGCAGATGCATCCACTCCTTGTGACTTATGATTTCCAATGAAACTGTTTTGTTCTTTGTTATTACTCCTCCTTTGTCTCACACCTCTGTTTACTGTCTGTATTATGCTTTTCTTGTACTTTCTTCTCTTCCTTTGTGTGGTGTTACATGGAGGGAGTGTGGCGACTTGAAGTGGCGCACATTTGTGCAAAGTTCTATATCGAAAACAGACAGACAGACTGATGATATATTCACTATTATTTATCTATGATAAATAAGTGATGACAATTGCTCTTCTGGTTGAACACGTATATATACACCACACGACCAAGACCACCACCACCACTGGGCTAACACAACAGTGGAATTCTACCCACCGGGAATGATACATCAACTACTACTACTACTACTACTACTATTTGGTGTAAATAGTCCAATTCTAGATTCAGGGGAGAGATTACGACCGCTTCCTGTTGTAACTACTTGCTTACAATATTTTTAAAAAAACAAAACAAAACACAGCAAAGCATTTTCGTGATGTCTGTTTATAATTATACATTTACATCAACAATACTCTATCAATCTCTGGTGGTTTTGTACGAAATAATATCAAAGGATGTGTGTGTGTGTGTGTGTGATGTGTACATCAATATAGATATAGATATATATACATTTACAGACACAAAAACACATTTAATACATATCGCCATCGTCGTCATCACCAGCATTGTTAAGATTTGTATTTCTACCGCTGCTACTACTACTCTGTTGATTCTTTATTTGTTCTTGACTTTGATACAACTCATAAACCTGGAATTTTTGTCGCGTTTTTTTTTAAATGAATAAAAATTTTTAGAAAATGTGTGATTAGAATATGTGAATGAAATGCATATTACACTGATATTTTTTTTGTCTTTTAAAAAGAAGTTTACAAGAGTTTGACCCCTGCCCCTCCCTCCCCCTTTACTACTGGCGGTTCGAATCCACGACCTTCCCCGGTTATAATGATGAGCTAGCTTGTAGTGTAGATAGATCATTCTCAGTCAGTGGATGAATTTCTAACTTCTACCAATTATTAGTGAGGCGCATTTTACCGCAACTAGCATCTCGATCAATATCGTCACAACGGTGGGAAATCCACCATCCAGACTTGATATGATTGGATGGACTACCTGACTGACACTGACTGGTGTCACACGACTTGCTTCTCATTAGAACTCTAGGACAGGAAACTCTGTCTGTCCTGTAGCAAGTATCAGATTTATTTCCAAGAGGTGATTGATTGATATTAGCTGGAGAAGCATTGAAAGCCAGCTAGCTGGAGGAGTTCTGTAACACCAGCTTGTGTAAGCTTCCTCTCTTTGTAACCAGAAGGTTCTCGGTCCAAACCCCCCCCCGCAGTTGGGAGGGGGGGGAGGTCGGTTGCGTCCTGCCAATGTGATTCCCAAACTAGGCTGATAAAACTGTACTGTCTGACAGTACTCTCCCTGTGGCGGCTGCTGGTGGGTGGCTTTCAATGCGTCTCTAACTGATATCAATCAGTGTTCAAACTGTTTTTTAAAAGTCTACAAAAATGAAGTAACAACACACTATGGCAAACATATTCACGACTTTTGCACTCTTATTATTGTATTTATATTATTATTATTGTTCCCTTGGGTTCCTAGTGGAACATATGGCTTCAATTGCACGTCTCCATTTGGAACGTATATATATATATATATATATATATATATATATATATATATATATATATATATTAAGCATACCCCTTGTATTTTCCTAGTGTGGTATAACTACCGCTCCCCAGGTCCACCCTTATCCCGGTTGGAACGTATAACGTAAGCTTGTTAGGCGCACCTTAGTCTTGTGTATTACTGCCGTATGAAAAATACATAAACAGCTTTTATCATATACGAATTAACGTGACTAAATATCTATAGCATAACTTTATTATCTCATTTTAAAGAAGAAATTCATACCTATTTAGATCGACAGGATCCAACAAACCAGACTGGTTTAACGACTAACAATAACAACACAGCACTCTGTTGATGATATCAACTGTATGCAACAGCAAGACCAGACCAGATCAGTCATCTAATGACCGATACACAAACCAAAGTTTGAACTTAGCTTCCTTAGTGAATAAATACTTGGGCGGGGAGGGGGGGGGACTGGAAGTTGCTTGATACTTACTTCTTCAATAGATCATTTCATCAATGTAGAATAGTCAGTCATCTGTAGAAATCGACTATAGCATGACAACACACTGTATTATAATGAAATGTCATGTGGTATATTCTTGACAACTCGACAAACTCTGTACCACCACCACTTCACTACCCCCCCCTCCCCAACTGTAAGCAGTACACCAGAAATCAAGTACAAAAAGCCCGTTACAACAGAATAACAATAACATACCACCTCCGGCTATAATATCCAATCATCCATTATCTTCAATCCAATTTAAAAGTCTATTGGATTAAAAACCAGCGATGTACAAAAGCAAGTTTAACTCTAGGTGAATGATTATAAAATCTGTTCAATAACCTTCATCTGGATAAATCGCATCTATCTGATGACAACGACGACAACTAGAACACAATAAAGTTTACGCCGACTCTGGCGTAGATGAGATATTCGACTATCGACCAAAGGGCGAGTGTACTGCTCATCAGTCCGCTCCGTCCTCCTTTGTGGCCAGCTGTGAGACCTGGTTACTGAGAGTGGAAGACATGAAAAGACTAGCTAGCTGTCTTTGATCATAGGTGCCTGTCTGCGTTCTATCTCCCGTGTTGGTTGGTGGCATAATAAGGTGAGCAATATTGAGGTTTGGCGTCTGTTGAGTTCTAGGTAAACAGGGGAAATCAATCGACGAAGTCGTGAAGTTACAAATACTGAGATGGTTAGGACATGTGTTACGCATCCCTGACTAGTCATCGAATTCCTCAACTAATGGTCAATGTTAGCGGATGTAGGGTCAGGCTGGAAAAGAGCTAGTGGAGGTCGAACAAAAACATGGCTTCACCAGTCAATGAAATCCACAACAGTTAGTCTAAGCCAGTCACGTAGGATGGTGTAGACTTCCTGACTGGTTGGGGGGTCCTCGGGACGGTAAAAACCAATGAAGGCTGGAAACAATTGGTGACATGGCTCAAACTCATCGTTCTCAATGGCTGGCTGACGCAGATGCATCCACTCCTTGTGACTTATGATTTCCAATGAAACTGTTTTGTTCTTTGTTATTACTCCTCCTTTGTCTCACACCTCTGTTTACTGTCTGTATTATGCTTTTCTTGTACTTTCTTCTCTTCCTTTGTGTGGTGTTACATGGAGGGAGTGTGGCGACTTGAAGTGGCGCACATTTGTGCAAAGTTCTATATCGAAAACAGACAGACAGACTGATGATATATTCACTATTATTTATCTATGATAAATAAGTGATGACAATTGCTCTTCTGGTTGAACACGTATATATACACCACACGACCAAGACCACCACCACCACTGGGCTAACACAACAGTGGAATTCTACCCACCGGGAATGATACATCAACTACTACTACTACTACTACTACTATTTGGTGTAAATAGTCCAATTCTAGATTCAGGGGAGAGATTACGACCGCTTCCTGTTGTAACTACTTGCTTACAATATTTTTAAAAAAACAAAACAAAACACAGCAAAGCATTTTCGTGATGTCTGTTTATAATTATACATTTACATCAACAATACTCTATCAATCTCTGGTGGTTTTGTACGAAATAATATCAAAGGATGTGTGTGTGTGTGTGTGTGATGTGTACATCAATATAGATATAGATATATATACATTTACAGACACAAAAACACATTTAATACATATCGCCATCGTCGTCATCACCAGCATTGTTAAGATTTGTATTTCTACCGCTGCTACTACTACTCTGTTGATTCTTTATTTGTTCTTGACTTTGATACAACTCATAAACCTGGAATTTTTGTCGCGTTTTTTTTTAAATGAATAAAAATTTTTAGAAAATGTGTGATTAGAATATGTGAATGAAATGCATATTACACTGATATTTTTTTTGTCTTTTAAAAAGAAGTTTACAAGAGTTTGACCCCTGCCCCTCCCTCCCCCTTTACTACTGGCGGTTCGAATCCACGACCTTCCCCGGTTATAATGATGAGCTAGCTTGTAGTGTAGATAGATCATTCTCAGTCAGTGGATGAATTTCTAACTTCTACCAATTATTAGTGAGGCGCATTTTACCGCAACTAGCATCTCGATCAATATCGTCACAACGGTGGGAAATCCACCATCCAGACTTGATATGATTGGATGGACTACCTGACTGACACTGACTGGTGTCACACGACTTGCTTCTCATTAGAACTCTAGGACAGGAAACTCTGTCTGTCCTGTAGCAAGTATCAGATTTATTTCCAAGAGGTGATTGATTGATATTAGCTGGAGAAGCATTGAAAGCCAGCTAGCTGGAGGAGTTCTGTAACACCAGCTTGTGTAAGCTTCCTCTCTTTGTAACCAGAAGGTTCTCGGTCCAAACCCCCCCCCGCAGTTGGGAGGGGGGGGAGGTCGGTTGCGTCCTGCCAATGTGATTCCCAAACTAGGCTGATAAAACTGTACTGTCTGACAGTACTCTCCCTGTGGCGGCTGCTGGTGGGTGGCTTTCAATGCGTCTCTAACTGATATCAATCAGTGTTCAAACTGTTTTTTAAAAGTCTACAAAAATGAAGTAACAACACACTATGGCAAACATATTCACGACTTTTGCACTCTTATTATTGTATTTATATTATTATTATTGTTCCCTTGGGTTCCTAGTGGAACATATGGCTTCAATTGCACGTCTCCATTTGGAACGTATATATATATATATATATATATATATATATATATATATATTAAGCATACCCCTTGTATTTTCCTAGTGTGGTATAACTACCGCTCCCCAGGTCCACCCTTATCCCGGTTGGAACGTATAACGTAAGCTTGTTAGGCGCACCTTAGTCTTGTGTATTACTGCCGTATGAAAAATACATAAACAGCTTTTATCATATACGAATTAACGTGACTAAATATCTATAGCATAACTTTATTATCTCATTTTAAAGAAGAAATTCATACCTATTTAGATCGACAGGATCCAACAAACCAGACTGGTTTAACGACTAACAATAACAACACAGCACTCTGTTGATGATATCAACTGTATGCAACAGCAAGACCAGACCAGATCAGTCATCTAATGACCGATACACAAACCAAAGTTTGAACTTAGCTTCCTTAGTGAATAAATACTTGGGCGGGGAGGGGGGGGGACTGGAAGTTGCTTGATACTTACTTCTTCAATAGATCATTTCATCAATGTAGAATAGTCAGTCATCTGTAGAAATCGACTATAGCATGACAACACACTGTATTATAATGAAATGTCATGTGGTATATTCTTGACAACTCGACAAACTCTGTACCACCACCACTTCACTACCCCCCCCTCCCCAACTGTAAGCAGTACACCAGAAATCAAGTACAAAAAGCCCGTTACAACAGAATAACAATAACATACCACCTCCGGCTATAATATCCAATCATCCATTATCTTCAATCCAATTTAAAAGTCTATTGGATTAAAAACCAGCGATGTACAAAAGCAAGTTTAACTCTAGGTGAATGATTATAAAATCTGTTCAATAACCTTCATCTGGATAAATCGCATCTATCTGATGACAACGACGACAACTAGAACACAATAAAGTTTACGCCGACTCTGGCGTAGATGAGATATTCGACTATCGACCAAAGGGCGAGTGTACTGCTCATCAGTCCGCTCCGTCCTCCTTTGTGGCCAGCTGTGAGACCTGGTTACTGAGAGTGGAAGACATGAAAAGACTAGCTAGCTGTCTTTGATCATAGGTG